GGCCCAGTAGGCAATATATTTTAAGACATGGGTTCTGTGATCAGGTTGGGACCAGTGATCTTATGTAATGGATGTTAATTGATCATTACCCCCCAAAGTAGATAGCTGCTTTATAGAAGTTTAGAAGGTATCTAAATGTCTAGTTTCATTTTTCTTGCTGAAACTTTGAATTTATGTGAATGCCACAATAAATGAGTTGTCTGTATTTTCTTGGTGAGAATCTGGAAAATAAAGACCAGCTTTGCTAGAGGCAGGGCCAGAGGCAGGAGATGCTGCTGGATGGGTTTGCTGGTGGCACTTGTGAGGCCTCAGTCCATTCTCTGGGAACAGCATCCTGAAGAGATGGCGTGCACATGGGGACGGGCAGGATGGACATGAGGGTCAGTGAGAGTCAGCCCCTGAGGGACAGATGTGGTCTCCAGTGCACACCGGTGGGTGCTGGGTGCTGGGTGGTGGAGTGGAGCTGGGCTCAGACGGGGGTTCAGTGTCTTGGGGTGGGGGATGAACAACTGACATCCCTAGCAGAGCAAGATGGAGGGGTGTCCAGTTTGATTCACCTAGAGTAGAGAAGAGCAGTAAGGAATCCAGTTCCTAGGATTTCACTCTATACTTACTGAGGTTTTTTCTGTTTTATTTCCTAACTCATTTGGCGGGTTTCATTGGGTTCTGTGCCCTTGACCTTGTTACTCTCACTTTGTATCGTGGTGACAGTCTCGGGGTGCCGTGTGGGCCCTGTTCTGAGGAAGCTCTGGTGGGCGATACAGATAAACACGCAGTTACCATGGTGCCAAGTACACGCTAGGCCTACGGAAGAAGCACCTACCGCAGAGGTGTTTATTGATTAGGGAAGAGATCTAGGAAGGCTTCCCGGGGGAGGTGATGTCTCAGCTGAGACCCGAAGGATTGGAACAGTCATCATGCCACTCGGTTACTTAGAATCTGGTGCAGGGAATCTTGAAAAATGAATACTGTGTTTTGTAGCTCCCTGAGAAGCAGTAACCACACTTTAATCTGGAACACCTGTGAACTATTGAAGGACGTCATCATGCAAGATTTTCCTGCTGAGATTTTCCTCCAAAGGCCGAAAATCGTTCAGGTGTGTATCGTCTGTAATTGTTTTCAGTTTTGAAATGGAGAACTTTAACAACGAAAAAACTGCACCGTAGGAGTCCTTGGGAAGGAAATGTGAGCTATCATATTTAAAAACTGAAGTATTCGGTCATTTAAACCACTTGTTCTCTAACGTATGTGGAAAGTGGTAGTTCTGAGGGGAGGCGGTCGCACTGGACACGTGCGCTCCAATTGCACCAGCTTGAATTGAGCGTTTCTGGGTCACCGCATGGGGAGAGTAGACTTCGGAGATTGAGGGCGGACCACAGGAGCCCGCTCAGCCTTGAGTGGCTTCTCTCCGTCTGGCACGCATGCGGCCCGGCGCTAGAGGCCGCGGAAGCGCGGTGGCTCTGAGCAGTGGGCTGCGTTCCTTGCAATCTAGCCGGCTGCTTATACAGCAGAGCCGCCAGGACGCAGGGCCGGTGATGGGCATATGCCTCAGCACCCGCGCTCTGCCGCCACGGCCGAAAGCATGCCGGCGAATGGCAGCTGTTAGCCCCTACGGTCACTGCTGTCAAACGGCGGCAACTGAAACGGTGTTACTGAAATGTGGCAAAGTGACTTAGCTGTTTGTGATGCAGAAGCCTTGACGTGATTCCTGAGAAGCACCTGAAACTTAATGTCTCCAGTGGGAACTAATTCCTGTGTTCTCAGAAGAGGCCCTCACTGAGCAGATTTGAATACAAGCAACACTGTTGTTCTGTTTCCGTTGTGTCTTGTTTGGACCCCTCTTCTTGCATGATGCTAAATTGTTTCTGTTTCTTATGTCGTATAAAATTTGGCAACTTATTTCCTTATTAAGCTGCACACCCTTCCCTGCAGCCCAGCCTTCCTTCCCTGACCTTTGTCACTGCTGTCGTTCCCTTCAGAGCCTTTTCTCTCTGCTGAAACTGGCCTTCGGAGGAGATGGGAAGCACCGCCTGGCCTTGCAGTCAGCGTCCTGCCTGCAGCAGCTGTGCACGTGTTTAAGAAACAGGCTCAACTTCCACCGAGACCCAGGATTTTTCTCTAGTAAACAAGGTAGTGATGTTTATTTATTTATTAGTCACTGGCGGTATTTGCAGATTCTTTGGAGAGCCCCACCACACTTACTGTTAGGGCTTACTATATACGATTTCCAGAAGGTAAATTCGCCGTTCCTTGACGTCATCAAATTACCATCTTTGAAAACAAATTGCATGACAGACCCACTCATGAGCCAGTCCCCTCTCTCTCTGTCTCTCTCTCGCTCTCTCTCTTGTTGATAAGACACATCTGTAAGGGGTTCATCTGTTCCCGCCATGCGTACATAGGATTGGTGGAAGTTAGGGGCTAGGAGTCTGAGTCCAGCTGTTTATGTGGGATGTTGGGTGTGTTAGCAAGTTATATGCTATGTTAATAAATTGTTTCGGTTGAAAAATACCCATTTGTATTGTATGAAAACTATGTAACTTGTGATGTCGTCAATATTGGATGATCACAGTGCCCCACTTTTCAGGGAAAAAGCACCACCTAATGGCCAAATAGAGCACTGTGCTGGTCTTGCAAACCTTGGTCATTGAGGGCTTCTGTGCACTTACACAATAAGCTGAATGTTAAATCACGGGGGTTTGTGATCATGCCTCACAGTTAATCCCTGTTTTACTGAGAGTTACACTGATCCTGTGCTACTTGAATATTCATGCTTTACATTAGCTTGATTACAGATCTTGAGGGTATGGGGTTTCCTCATTGTCATTCCTAAGATATAGCATCCTGCCAATGACTGATAACAGAGAGCTTCCAGGTACCCCGTACTTCATCAGAAGAAGAGTTATAATGTTGATAGAAATAGATTGTAACTCTGAAGATTTATCCAGGTATTAAATATTTATTTGTCACCTACTGTATGCCAATCTTGGGGGGGTATAACAGTGAACAAAACTGGGACAAGGGTCCAGCCTTTATGAACTTATATTTCTGAAAGTTGGGACAGGAAATAAATTTGTTTCAGGCAAGGAGAAGTGCGTGAAGGAAATAAAGAAGGACGATTGCCAGAACGTGACCAGGGAAACGTGGCTTACGTGGATAGGATGGTCAGGGACAGCCTGTCAGGAGACCTGAAGGCTGAGAAGGGACCACTCACTTGGAGGGCTGCAGGAGGAGTATTCCAGGAGGTCAGGGCCTCAGTGCCGAGGGCGACATGCTTGAGAAACAGAAATTAGGCTGGTGTGGGTAGAGAACAGTAATCTTGGATGCGCGGACAGGCATGCAGAGAGCGTAGTGGAGTGAGATCAGAGAGGGACTGGGCCAGATGCACTGGGACTTGTAGATCTCCGTAGGACTTTGTATGTTTTTTGAAGTGCTGGGAGAAGCTCTTTGCAGAGTTGTCTGTTGTTTTGGCTTTTATTTTTACCTAGTTAAATGCCTTTATTTTGCCTACTTAAAAAAATTATGGTAAAATATACCTAACAAAATATGTCATTGTAATAATTTTTAATGTGCAATTTGGTGCCATTAATTACATTCACACTGTTGCACAGCCATAACTATTATCTGTTTGCAAACGGTTTTCATCACCGCAGAAGCTTAGTAACCATTAAGCAGTACTCCCATTTTCCCTTCTGCTGCAGCCGTGATAACCGCTAATCCACTTCCTGTCTCTAAATTTGTCTATTCCAGGTGCCTCATGCAGGTGGAATCTTACAATATTTGTCCTTTATGTCTGGCTTATTTTACTTAGCGTAATGTTTTTAAGGTTCAGCTATGTTGTAGCACATATCAGAACTTGACTCCTTTTTACAGTTGAATTGTGTTCCATTGTATGTATTGGGTTGTCGCAAAAGTCATGACGCATTCTTGCAATAAAAAACAGAAAAAAATACATCATGCCTTTTCCAACAACCCAATACATTCCTCCTTTTGTTTGTTCATTCATGTGTTGGTGGGCACTTATGTTGTTCCCACCTTTTGGTTGTTGTGAATAAGCTTCAGTGAACATGGGCATGCCTGTCTAAGCTCTTGTTTTCAGTTTTTTTGGGCATGTACACCTAAGAGTAGAATTGTTGGATCAGATGTTAATGCCGGGTTGAGCTTTCTGAGGAACTGCTGCACTGGTTTCCACAGTGGCTGCACCATTTTACAATCCCACCAGCAGTGTATGAGACTTCACATTTCTCCACATCCTTACCAACACGGGTTGTTTTCGTTTTTTTTTTAATCATGGTCATCCTAGTAGGTGTGACGTGGTATCTCATTATGGTTTTGTTTTGCATTTCTCTAATGACTACTAATTAATGACTAGTTATTCCCTAGTGACTTGTCATGTGCTCATTGGCCATTCATATATCTCTTTTGAAAAAGTGTCTATTAAAGTCCTTTGCCCATTTTTCAATTGTTTTTTTTTTTTTGTTGTTGTTGTTGCTGTTGTTGAGTTTTAGGAGTTCTTTATGTATCGATGTTAAAGCCTTATCAGATATATGACTTGTAAATACTTTCTCTCATTCTGTAGGTTGTCACTTTCTGAATAATGTCTTTTGAAGTATGGAAGTTTTGGGTTTTTTTAAAGTTTTTAATTTTATGAAGTTAGTTCATCTATTCTTTTGTTTTTACTTTTTTTTAAAAAAGATTTTATTGGGGAATTGGGGAAGGGAAACAGTGTTG